AATATCGACAAAGCCACGAAAGAAACTTGACTTGCTCAGGGAGCCTAATTCTCGTTCCAATTTGAGTGTATTGATCTCGAACTTCGACTGATTTTTCGCAGTCCAGTGTTCTTCCCAACTTCAGAAAATGGAAAAAATATATGGAAAAGAGGTACTTCCCACATTCATGGCAGCCACGTTTGATAAAATACTAGCGACCCGTGGTGGTCCTATCTCCAGCGTATGTTCTACCATTGAAAGATCTAAGGTTTACGACTCAGAGGTGACACAGCCATGCAAATCTGTTGAGGAACCTCACACGAAGACCTGGATTACGGCGTTCAAAACAGCGACAAGTTTCGTTCCACTGCAGCACACCAGGCAGCCATTCAGCAGCCGGGTCTCACTTGGTCGAAAATCCTAAATAGGCTTGGCCTCACAGCAGTGGTGGTGAAGAAACCAGAAGTTATCGAAAGCCGCAAAGACCACACAAAGCCTGGAAACTTCTCTACTGGCATGCTCCGGCGGTGACCGTAGCCAATGGAAGAGACTGTTTGTTGTTCGCCACTGATATGAAAACGACATTGGTGTGGAACTCAACTTTCTTCTCGCAACCCCAAACGCAACTCATCATGAGCCATTCCTCAATATGCTGGCACACAAGGGCTAGACGGTAGCAACCTTTGAAAAAGGTTCGCCTACCGCAATTTAGGATTGTGCAAACCTAGTCACCGATATTTCCTCTAGCTTTTTTTCTCGGCCATAATTCGTATGGATTTACTGAATCATCAAGACCCACTAGTTGACGTCTAGTGACGATGACTGATGCATAACGACATGAAGCTGTCTGCTGACGAAACCGCCTACTTAGGTGTAAGTTTGGCCATCGCAAGGACGAAACAAATGGTCCTATCAGTATTGGACAAACGTACGGAGTTGAGAAAGCTGGAACATTCTTTTTCACGCAAAACCAGTAATGTCACACTTCTGATCATGACCACAATCTCACGTGTGACATATACAGCCTCCATCCAGCCGTCAGTAAGATTAGGACGGTGAAAAGTGACCTCAATGAGTGCTTCGAATGGGCGCTGCTGAACGGTCAAACGGTCTTTGGGTATCACAATCCCATAGGGTGACTAAAATGTATTGCAGCAAGTGGCGTCCTAACGGTGAC